GCAGTGTTTAGTGTGACAGACATCTCCACCTTCCTTTTCCTCCTCCTTCTCTCTGGTTTTCCCATCTACTGATCTCAACTTCTATGAGACAATCTAAAAAGAATTGCTGAGAGTAGACTTTGAGGTTTCTCAACCCATACGCCCCCCCACACAAGGTAAGTTAAATACTCAATACCTATGTTAATTATTTCATTTTAACAATTCCCCAATGAACGCATACTTCAGGACAGCAAGTTTTATTCCTATACCTCACCTTCTCCCCGCAAAAGAAACAGAGTAGATGAGTGGAAAGCAATGTGATGCGGGAGAGATGCCACTGACTTTGAAACTGGAAAGGCCTATGTTTAAGTTCTGACTGTCACTGTGATATTTTATGTTAAGGATGAGAAGCAACTTTGGGTACGTCTATGAGGACATTTCCAGAGAATATTAACTAAAGGGAAAGACATGCTCTGAAAGCGAGCAATGCCATCTCTGGGGCTGGGGTCTCAGCATAAGGGAAAAAAGCATAAAATCAGCTTCGCACCACCTTTCCTCTTTCTCTGCTTTCTGATATGCCAAGCAGCATAGAGTCACCACTGCCAAGAGCTGGTCTCCCTGCCATCTCCTTTAGTTATCAATTGTGCATTCTGAACTGCAAGCTGAGTTAAGTCCTTCCTTCCTGTCACTTCCTGTCATGTACTGGGTCACAGCCACGAGAAAGTAAGTACAAAGCTACCATCAGAGTGTTGGATCAGCCTGGATCTTTACACAGTGTCATTGTTTGAGTAAGAACGGCTCCCATAAGCTCACAGATTTTAATACTTGATTACCAGAGAGTGGTATTAATGGAAAAGATTAGAAAGTATGGATTTTTTGGCAGGAAGTGTGTTACTAGGGGTGGGCTTTGAGGTTTCAAAAAGCCTATACCAAGTCTAGAATCTCTCTCTCTCTCTGTTGCCTTCAGATCTGGATGTAGAACTCTCAGCTACCTCTCCAGCACCATGTCTGTCTGCATGCCGCCATGCTACCCACCATGATGATAATGGACTGAACCTCTGAAACTGCTGAAAGCCCCAATTAAATGTTTTCTTTTATAAGAGTTGCCTTGACCATGGTGTCTCTTCACAGCAACACTGACTAAGACACACAGATTTCTACAGCAAATCTCCTGGTGCGGCTGAATGTAAGGTTTTAATCTAGACAAGACACATTGAATGAAAAGCCATCGAAGATGGCTGGTAAGCAAGGGTCATTTACATTATAGCTCACCATCTCATTTTCATTGTTCTCAAGGCTAGTCCCAGAGCACCCCAAGCATATTTCACTAAATATCCCTTGGGTCATCTCTTTAGAGCAGAAGAAATACAGTATTTTACTTATTTGCCTGTGTTAGGATCTGGAAAATCCGATTTCCTTGTAAAAGTGCATCTTGGTAAGAACGAACTTCAACATAGAAATGCTGCCTCCCAGTCCTTCCTGATTCACAAGACAGGGTTTGAGGTTTTTGGTATTATGGAGCAGAGCGCAGGCCAAATCCAGGCATTCTGCTATAAAGCAAGTCACAATGTGCACACTATCTGAAAATATAAAATAGCCTGACAAAACAACCACAAAACTTTTTCCTGAAGTTAACCGTACATGTTTGGTGGCTTTTCGAGTAGAAAAGAATTACAACATCGGGAAACAGGAGAGAGCTCCTTCATTTTCAGAGTTTTCTGTTGGGCAGTGTCAATATGGCTATGTGGGTGCGAGCACTTGCTGTAAGCCTCATGACCTGAGCTCCACCCTGGAACACACATGGTGGAAGGAAAAGGCTTGCTTCTGCAAGATGACCTACACACACACACACACACACACACACACACACACACACACACAGAGAGAGAGAGAGAGAGAGAGAGAGAGAGAATGAAAAAATATTAAAAAATATTACATTTGTTGGTAGTTTTAATTTTTGCACTGTGCACATATATTGCTTTCATAAAATTTAAGTAATTGCAAAATGTTCATTGTCCAATTACTTAGTTTATATCCAACATTTCCTTGTACTCTTTTGCTAGGTGAATACAATTGCTCAAGGGTTTTCGTTTCAAAAGTAGTAGAAGTACAATTTTTCACTCTGAAAAGATAGCCACACCCAAATGCTTAAAGGTTAAGCTTTTTACCCAGTTCTGGTCATCAGTGGTTAGGAGGAATTCTCTTGGCTATCTCTCTGGCCTTCTCCCCAAGGAGAGAAAACAAAGAAAGCTTCTCACTATTTGTCAAGGCAAGTGTTGGTAATGTGCTGCAGCTTGAAGCACTTCACCCCTGGTGGGAACACCATACACATCTGCATGGAACTAACAGAGGCAATCATTTCTTCACCTCCAGCAATGTTAGATTCCTGAATTGCTAGCTGCCCTGAGAGTCTGTCCTTTAAAAAAATGATGCTAAAATTAATATGTTATCAATAATTACTGTTATAATATTAAATTTAATATTGCCTTTGTGGGCTGAAAGGATAGCTCAGCCATTAAAGGCTAGGCTCACAACCAAAACATATTACCTTTGTATGCAAGAGTCAGATACAACTAGGAGGGGAGTAAAACTAATAAAACTTAAAATATAAAAGTGATCTTAATCATCCTTAATTAAGAACAAGTCCAAGTGATCATAGCAGTTATTTCAATGGGAGTTATGATTCATATCAGTGTTAGTCAAATGTATCTTCTCAGACACTGGACGGTATCATAAGCCAGAAACCAAAGCAAAAAGAAAACAAATATTGAGCAGAATTAAAGCCAATTAACTTCTCATTTAGAAAAATCAAATGGTCTCTACTTTTGGTAGAAAAGAAGTTCCCAAGGCCCGATCAGTGTAGCAGGCATCAAGGCCAGAATGAGCCTTTTAAACACTCCCTTGCCAGGAGGATTAGTAACAAGGGTGGTGCCAGTTACTTGGACCAGCCCTAACAAGATAAATAAAGTTGAGAAGTTAGGAAAGAATTTGAACTCAACAGTGCAATAGCGTGAGATGGTATCTACCACAAAAGGCTCAGCCAGGCCCACAGCTTTGTGCGCTAGCTTCTGTGTGTTCAAATGAAGGAGGGTGTGAGTATGCACATTCTCCACTCTGCATGTTCCACAAGGAATGAAAGACCCTGGGCTTTAGAGGTTGCAAAGGCACACCCACACCCAGATCCCACCAGGGACTGCATTTTTGTTTGTTTTCCCTTTATTTCCTACCGTACCCACATTCTTTTCCTAGCTCCGTACTTTTCACTTACAAATCATTAACCATTTCTTTTAAGATAACCTCTTCGAATAGGTACTTGTTGTTCTTAGCTGAATTTCTGCTCTTTATTTTACCTGTGAATGTGGGACTTTGGACAGCATTCCCTCTCTTTTTGCTACTTCCTTTCCTAGATAAAAATCACAAATGGTAATGTCCCTACTGTTTAAGATGATGGGAGGGTGTTAAACATGTTAGGAGTCTGTTTTTCTTATAGTACTGCACTGTAAGGGCTAGAGACTGTGAATTTTTCTTATTCTATTTGATATATTTAGTCTATCTTCCTCCCTCTTAACATTTCCATTCCCCATTATTTTGACATTTCTTTGTCTTCTTATTCTTAGGGTTTCTTGGTATTGCTGTTGCCAGTACTTGCCCAATCTTTTACATGGCTTTTGTTGGTCCTTGATTCCCTCTTCCTTTGAGTTATTGGATCGGTGGTGACGAGGCAGGCCCTGGGGCTATTTCTACAGTGGAAATAAATTTAATGATTTGCCTTGATTGACATCAGTAGGAACTTAGTCTAGAGAAGTGGTTACCAAGCTTTCTTGTGGGAGTCTGCTAGAGGGCTTGTTGAGGCACAGACTTCTGGCATCACACCTGAGCTCCTGATCCAGACACACTCCTCTACTAGACTCTCAGAGGATGCTGATACTATTGGCTGGTGACCTCATTTGAAGAGCTATTGTGCTGATGTACTATCAACAAGGGAAGGAGTCTTATTGCAAATTAAGGAAGCCATTTTCCACATACACTAGTTCATTTCTAACTCACAGGATTTTTCCCCCTTTTTGAAAATTTAAATTAGAAAGAAGTTTGTTTTCCATGTCAACCCTAGTTCCCTTTCCCTCCCCTCCTCTTCTGCCCCCAACAGACCCTCTATCCCAAACCCTTTCTGCTCTCCAGGATGGATGAGGCCTTCCATGGGGGATCTTCAAGTATGTCGTATCATTCAGAGCAGGGCCTAGACTCTCCCCAGTGTTGTCTAGATGGAGAGAGTATCCCTCTATGTGGAGTGGGCTCCCAAATTCCATTCCTATACTAGGGATAAATTCTGATCCACTACCAGAGGCCCCATAGATTGCCTAGGCCTCCAAACTGACATCCATATTTAGGGGGTCTGGATCAGTCCTATGCTGGTTTCCCAGCTATCAGTCTTGGTTCCATGAGCTCCCCCTTGTTCAGGTCATCTGTTTCTGTGAGTTTCTCCAGCCTAGTCTTGACCCCTTTGCTCATCACATCCTCCTCTCCATAACTGGATTCTAGGAGCTCAGTGCAGTGTTTAGCTGTGGGTGTCTGCTTCTGATACTTTCAAAAAAATCTCTTCCGTATATTCTCCTCCATGCTCAGTCTGAACTATTTCTAGCTCGGCACATGGGTCACTGCTCAACTGAAAAGCTTACTCACTAAATCCTCTTATAACTAGTACTAACTGTTTTGTGTCAACTTGACACAAGCCAGAGGAGCCTCAGTTGAGGAAATGCCTCCATGAGACCCAGCTGTAAGGCATTTTCTCAATTAGTGATCAATGTAGGAGGGCCTGGTCTGTCTGTCCTGGGTTCTATAAGAAAGCAGGCCGAGAAAGTCATCACACACACACACATACACAATTTTGAAAGGCATTAATGAGAGTCTGATTTCTCAATTTCTCCCACAGAACTACGAAAATATGGCTTCTGTAAGAATTCTACTGCAGTTTGGTCCACACAGGCAGCAGAAACAAACTGTATCTTGGGTATGGGGCTTACCTTGTTCTTTCCTAGGCATGTAGTTTAGGAAGTGCCATCTATATAGTCCCTTTGGACATCATTTATCTTCAGATGATAGAGTCCCTAAAAGAGGAAATGAGAAAATCCTTTAAAGACGTTGAAGAAGACAAACCAAAATTGCAAGAAACAATTCAAACAGTGCAAGGTTTGAAAGCTGAAATAGAGACAATAATAAAGAAAAAAAACAAAACACAGTCTGGATTTCCAGGCCACCTGCCTGTGCTTGGGGTCTGCCCCTGCATCTTCCATCACAGCAGCAGGAGCCAACGTGCCCTAGTCTCCCGCTCCACCCACAGGACTAGGTAAACCAGGGCCCATTTTCAGGCTGCCTTTCTGTGATTAGGGTCTGCCCCTGCATCTTCCATCCCAGCAGCAGGAGCAAAGGCACCCCAGCACCCTAGTCTCCTGCTCCACCCATGTGACTAAGACTATCAGGGCCTGTCTACAGGCTGCACTCCTGTGCATGGGGTCTACCACTGGGGCTCCTGTCTACCACAGTAGTATTGAAAGCACCCAAGCATTGTATTCCATTTCTCCACCACAAGACCAGGAAGTGGAGAGCTACTAGAGCACTGGACTTGACTACACCCACCAAAAGAGAACCCTGGTCCCATACCCACCAGAAGAGGATCCCACTGCAAGAATGGAGGAGAAGGACACAATATAAAAACACAAGGAACAACAGAAAAACCAATATGACACCTCCAGAGTCAAGAGACCCTACATCGGCAAGACTGAAAAACCCCAAAAACAAATGAAACAGAAGAGAATGACATTAAAAACAACTTCACGAAAATGATAGAGGCCCTCAAAGACAATATGGGAAAATCCCTTAAAGATTTGGAAGAAAAAATGACCCCCAAAAATGCAAGAAATGGAAGAAAAGACAAAGCAAAAATTGCAAGAAACAATTGAAACAGTACAAGGGATAAAATTTGAAATAGAAACAATAAAAAACACAGGAATGCTGGAAATAGAAAAGCTGGGGAAACAGTCAGGTACAACAGGAGCAAGCAAAACCAACAGAATGCAAGAGACTGAAGAGAGAATCTCAGGTGTTGAAGATACACTAGGTTAATTAGATTCATCGACCAAAGAAAATTTTAAGTCTAACAAATCCCTAACACAAAATATCCAGGAAATATGGGACACAATGAAAAGACCAAACTTAAGAATAATAGGTATAGAAGGAGGTAAAGAAACCCACCTCAAAGGGGCAGAAAACATATTCAATAAAATCATAGAAGAAAACTTTCCCCACCTAAAGAAAGACATGCCAATGAAGGTGCAAGAACCTTGCAGAACACCAAATAGAGTGAACCAAAAAAGAATAAAAATAAAAAAATAAAAAATCTCTTCCACACATAATAATCATGACCACAAACATACAGAATAAAGAAAGAATATTAAAAGCAGCTAGGGAAAAAGGCCAAGTAACATATAAAGGCAATCCTATGAGAATTACTCCTGACTTCTCCATGGAAACTATGAAAGCCAGAAGGTCCTGAATAGATATTATACCAACATTAAGAGACCACAGATGCCAGCCAAGATTACTATATGCAGAAAATCTTTCAATCAATATAGATGGAGAAAACAAGATATTTCATGACAAAACCAGAATCAATGTAACAAAGAAATGGTTTTTTGAGAAAATCAACAATATAGACAAACCTTTATCCAAACTTATCCAAATGGCAGAGTATGAAAATGTAAATTAACAAAATCAGAAATGAAAAGGAAGACATAACAACAAACAGTGAGGAAATCCAGAGAATCACCAGGTCATATTTTGAAAAGCTATACTCCACAAAATTTGAAAGTTTAAAGGAAATGGACAATTTTCTGGATATCTATCACTTACCAAAATTAAATCAAGAACAGATAAGCAATTTAAATAGACCTATAACACCTAAGGAAATAGAAGCAGTCATCAAAAGTCTCCCAACCAAAAAAAGCCCAGGGCCAGATGGCTTCAGTGCAGAATTTTACCAGAAATTCAAAGAACAGCTTATACCAATTCTCCACAAAGTATTCCATGTAGTATAAGCAGAAGAGTCTTTGCCAAACTGTGTTTATGAGGTTTCAATAACATTGATACCCAAGCCAAAAAAAGACACAACTAAGAAAGAGAACTTGAGACCAATACCCCTCATGAATATTGATGCAAAAATACTCAATAAAATACTGGCAAATCAGATGCAAGAACACATCAGAAAACTCATCCACCATGATCAAGTATGTTTCATCCCAGGGATGCTGGGATAGTTCAGCATAAGAAAATCCATCAATGTAATCCACCATACAAACAAGCTGAGAAACAAAAATCACATGATCATCTCACTAGATGCTGAAAAAGCCTTTGACAAAATCCAACACCAATTCATGATAAAGGTCTTAGAAAGATCTGTGATAACAGGAACATACCTGAACATAATAAAAGCTATATAGAGCAAACCAACAGCCAACATCAAACTGAATGGAGAGAAACTCAAGGCAATTGTTCTAAAATCAGGAACAAGCCAAGGCTGTCCACTCTCCCCATATCTCTTCAATATTGTACTAGAAGTTCTAGCTAGAGCAATAAGACAATAAAAGATATCAAGGGACACAAATTGGAAAGGAAGAGGTCAAACATTCACTATTTGCAGATGATATGATAGTTTACATCAATGACCCAAAGAACTCTACCAGGGAACTCTTACAGCTAATAAACACCTTCAGCAAAGTGCCAGGATACATGATCAACTCAAGACAATCAGTAGCCCTACTATATACAGATGATAAGAGGACTGAGAAAGAAATCAGAGAAACATCACCCTTTACAATTGGCACAAACATCATAAAATACCTTGGGGGTAACGCTAACCAAACAAGTGAAAGATGTGTATTGCAAGAACTTGGAGTCTTTAAAGAAAGAAATTAAAGAAGACATCAGAAAATGGAAAGATCTCCCATGCTTTTGGACAGCTAGGATCAATGTAGTAGAAATAGCAATCTTGCCAAAAGCAATCTACATATTCAATGCAATCCTCATCAAAATCCTAGCACAATTCTTCATAGATCTTGAAAGAGCAATTCTCAAGTTCATATGGAAAAACAAAAAAACTCAGGATAGCCAAGACAACCCAGCTCAACAAAGCAACATCTGGAGGCATCACCATCCCTGACTTCAAGCTCTATTATAGAGATATAGTCCAGAGAACAGCTTGGTACTAGCACAAAAATAGACAGGTAGACCAATGGATTCTAATTGAACACTCTGAGATTAATCTACAAACCTATGAACACCTGTTTTTCAACAAAGAAGCTAAAATTGTACAATGGAAAAAAGATAGCATCTTCAACAAATGGTGCTGGCATAACTAGATATTGGCATGTAGAAGACTGCAGATAGATCCATGTCTATCGCCATGCACAAAACTTAAGTCCAAATGGATCAAAGACCTCCATGTAAATCCAGGCATACTGAAACTGTTAGAAGAGAAAGTGGGTGGTAGCCTTGAATGAATTGGTATAGGAGACCCTTTCTGAACATAACACCACTATCACAAACACTGAAATTGACAATTAATACATGGGTCCTCCTGAAACTGAGAAGCTTCTGTAAAGCAAAGGACACATTCAGCAAGACAAAAAGGTAACCCACAGATTGGGAAAAGATACTCACTAACCCCACATCTGACAGAGGGCTGATCTCCAAATTTACAAACACTCCAGAAGCAAGTATCTAAAACACCAAAGGATCCAATTAAAAAGTGGGGGACTGAACTAAATAGAGAATTCTCAATAGAAGAGTCTAAAATGCCTGAGAGACACTTAAGAAAGTGCTCAACATCCTTAGCCATTAGGGAAATGCAAATCAAAACAACTCTGAGATATCATTTTACTCCTGTCAGAATGGCTAAAATCAAAAACACCAAGGACAGTTTATGCTGGAGAGGATTTGGAGAAAGGGGAACACTCCTCCACTGCTGGTGGGAGTGCCAAATCATACAGCCACTATGGAAATCAGTATGGAAATTCCTCAGGAAAATTGGAATCAGTCTATCACAAGACCCAGCAATTCCACTCTTATGCATATAACCAAATGATGCCCATTCACACAACAAGGATGTCTGTTCTACTATGTTCATAGTAACATTGCATGTAATAGCTAGATCCTGGAAGCAACCTAGATGCCCCACAACTGAAGTGTGGATATAGAAAATGTGGTACATTTACACAATGGCGTACTCCTCAGCAGAAAAAAATGGAATCTTGAAATTTGCAGGCAAATGGATGTCACTAGAAGAAATCATCCTCAGTGAGGTAGCCCAGTCACAAAAAGACAGGCATGGTATGTACTGACTCATATATGGATTTTAGACATGGATCAGGGGCATGTCAGCCTACAATCCCAGTGCCAGGGAGTCTGGGAAACAGGGAGGTTCCCAAGAGACATGTATGATACCCAAGAGAAGCAGAATGAGGCAAGATCTCCTGAGCAGATTGGGAACATCGATGGAAGGGAGAGGGAACCAGAAAAAAGAGAAGGGGATAAGAGGAGGTGAGAAGAAGGCATGGGGGAGCAGGAAGCTTGAGGTGAGGTTAAGAATAGAGGAGAGAAGGATGAGAGATACCATAATAAATGGAGTCACTATAGGTTTGAGGAGAGAGCTGACACTAGTGAGATTTCCATAGATCTACAAGAATAACACCTACTGACACACTAAGCAATAGTGGAGAAACTACATTAATAGCCATTCACTGATGATAAAGTTGATGACTACCTTATATTCCATCCTAGAACCTCCATCCAGTGACTGATGGCACCAAAGACATATACCCACAACCAAACACTGAACTGAACTCCTGGAACCCAGTGACAGAGATGGAGGACTGATGAGAAAAGGGGTCAAGACTTTGTGAAATCCACAAAGACAGCTGACCAGACAAGGGGGGAAGCTCTTGAACCCCAGACTAATGGCTGAGTGGCCAACAGAGGACTGATTCAGACTCCATGAATGTAGTGTCAGTGAGGAAGCCTCAGAAATCCCTGAGGCCTTGGGTAGTAGATCAGT